TTATTATTATTATTATTATTATTATTATTATTATTATTATTATTATTATTATTATTATTATTATTATTATTGGTATTATTATCGTCGCTGCCTCATCTAAATCGTATTTTATTTCATAGACGTATATACGGCGATAGCAAAAAAAAAAAAGGTCGGTTATTTCAACATCTATTCAGAAAATGAATAAACCTTACCATATGAGTTGAAAAGAATGATTTTTCACATTCTGTCTATAGCGATATTGCTTTTTAATATTAGAATCAGAAGGAAATTTCAGAGGTAGTATGAACATTACCAATAATGTAATTTTTTATACACATAGAAGAATAATAAATAAAATACATAAATAAAAAATACATTATTACCAATATAAATTATACATGTTCTTAGTGCTGCAAAACGTTAATGATGTTTGTTTTAGCGAGTGCTTTTTACTATTTATTTCATCGTTTGGGTTGGTTTTTTCAAACATACATATTGGCTAAACAAAAATAAATAGAGTAAGACAATATAATTAATATATGTACTTATATAATATAATTAATAATAGTAATAATGATTGCTCTTTCTTGTTGCTGATTGATTCAAAATCGGTTTTCCTAAAAAGGGACGATGTGAACATTTATGTCTTATACGCCTCAATTCAAAAATTGATTGGTATGTATTAATTATTGATATTATTATTTATTAATATTAATAATAATACGCATATATATATATATATATATATATAAATATATATATATATGTATGTATAAATATATAGTATATAATATATACCATCCGAAATCTATATATAAATAAGGGGTTGATTCCATCTATTCTCCTCCCACAAAGAGGATTAAGTTCAAATTTTTATACGTACGTCCCTTTTGTTTTCATTATAAATAGCATTAACAGCATCAAAAAACAAATAACTCTTGCTTCAGAGATTAGTCAACAACCACTATCTGATATTTTTCACCGCTTTGAATTTACTAGTAAAAAATTTTGACGAAAAACCTCACGAATAAAAAGAAATCAAATCAAAAATGTTGTTCACAAGAAGTCGCAAAATTCACAACCCATTCAAGAAATCCTCAAAATCTTCACAAAAATCATATCACTACAACAGCTCTGCAAGTGATTACAGCTTTGACGATGAAGACTACGATTACTACTATAATTACAGCAATGATAACGACGGGGCGGCCAGCCCATCAATCGCATCTTCAAGACGTAGCTCTTTCTCAGTCGAAGAAGAGATAAACTCGCATCACAATAATAATAGCATCCCGATAGTATACCAGAATTCGTTCTCATATAATTCTAATTCGGGATTTTACGGAGCTCCAACTATGCAAAATAAAAAACGATCACGACGACGAAGTCATCATGGACATACAAGTGAGCATGTGCACGCACATCATCATCATCGTAACTGCCATTGCCAGCAACACAACACCTCCGCAAAGAATGAGAAGAAAAGAAAACATAATAGCTATCAATCGTCGTCGTCATATAGTCCATGCCGAAGTGTTACTGGATTTGTGCTGTGGGCAAGATTGACTTGGGTTAAAGTTGGTAGGACTTTTCGTTAAATTATCATCATCACACTTAAAAAAAAAACATCAAAACGAAAATCATCCTTCACCATACTTTAAAAAAATACCCTTTTCATTTTAAAAAAAAATTTTGTATAAAGTCATTTTTCTTCACCCCACACACAAAAAAAAAACGAACGAAAATTGAACACTTGTATATTTTTGGGCTGGCATTTGGCATTATATTATTATTATTATTATCATTCTTATTATCATCATCATTCTTATTATATCTTATCATCATTATTAACATGGTGCTATATATATATGCGTCACTCTGGACAATATTATTCTTGCCGAGTTTTATATTATTATCATTATTTTAACTTAGTTATATATATACGCATATATATATATATACGTTAAGAGTAAGGAAGCAAAAACTAACGAGGAAGAGTTGATTGGCTGTTGGCTTTAGTATTCGATTTATTATTGGTATTATTATTATTAGGCGCGTAATACTTTCGACGACGCGTGAAAAGATTAGTGAAACAAATTATTCTCGTCGAACATATGACAACAATCACCACGACAATGCGCCAACAATTTAAGGAACGAGTCAACAGCAAGCAACCAGTTAACAACCTTATAACGAAAAAAAAATTCTTCCTCTTTACATTTTATCATATTTTTAGTTTTTGGGTCTCCTCCCATCTGGTTGCTTAGATATATATTTTTTTTACCATCGGAAGTTTAAGTTTGGTATTTCATCAAACATACGAGTTTTTATTTTTTTTTCTCCGATTCCACAACTTAGCTTCTTTTGTAAATATCATTTGATGTTTCTTATCATCAAAGCTAAAAAAAAAATCAAATTTCGAGATGATTATTAATTAGGAACTGGTATCCTGGTTATTACACGTTTTTACATTTTACTTTCTTTCGTTAATTTAGTTCTGTTCTGTTCTGTTTCGTTTCGTTCTGTTCTGTTCTGTTCTGTTCGTATTTTTTTTTTCATTTTCATCATTTTTTTCATATCATTTTTCTTGCATGTTCTGTTCATCTGTTCATAATCATCATCATTTTTCATTTTCATTCTGTTCATACTTTCGCGCGTTTTTTCTTTTAGACATATACCATACACACATCATATCATATTATATATATATATATTCATAGACATTCATCATAGACACATTATTAGACATTTCTTGCTTCTCTTCTGTAAATACCATATTATTATTATTATTATTCTTATCACCATTATTATAATATTAATTAATTAATATAATAAATTTTATCTTCGCATATTATTATTATTATTTCTTTATAATATAATATTTTTCTTCTTTTTGGTGGGTGAGACTTATCTGATTTGGTTGGTCGATAGAGGTTCATCAATACACGACAAAATTACACGCGATAAACGAAACAAAGAAGCACGAAAATAAATCTTCATTATCTTCTTTGATTCCCGTTCAACCAATCAGCCATCTTCTTACACCTTCTTCTCCAGGCAAACCTTTCGAATTCGCGATTCAACAATCATTCCTTTAATTTGTTCTGTTAAACTTTACAACAATTCTCCCGTTCCGAAACTCCTATATACCGAAATCATCATTATCTTTCGCCTTTCCTATTATAAATCACTCCCCGCATCAAAAATTTCCAATCTCGCGAAATCATTCTCTCTCACACACACACACACACACTCGCACACTCACACCCTCTCTTTTCTCTCACATCATTCTCACATTTAAGTGACAATACCACCAAAAAACTTCTATGCAAAAACAAAACCTTTCACGCGCATTTTTATACATACATGTTCATACATACATACATACATACATACATAGACTATATAATATAGACTGTACATTAGAATAGACGTTGTTTCTTCCCTTTTCCTTTTTCTTTTTTTAGACTCATAGACATTACAACAACAATCAAATATATAGCATTTTTATTTTCACGCGCACGCATTCATCCACATCATCACAACAATATAAGCATTTTACAAGTATATAGACATCAATCACACAATCACATTCACATTCTTCATCCAACAATAAGAAAAAACGCGCTTTTTCACATTTCATTTCATTTTCATTTTCAATTCAATTCAATTCAATTCAATTCAATTCAATTCAATTCATCTTTTTATTCATTCATTTACATATTCATTAGGCTTTTGAATTTTTTTGTTCCTTCGCTTTATCTTTTTTGTTCTGTTAAATTCGGTCCTTAACTAGTTTTTAGGATAGCCAGTTGGATTATTCACGTTGATCGTGCATATTATTAATGATTAATGAATAAAAAAAATCTTTACTCTTCGCGGTATTTTTTTCTCTTTGTTGAGAGGAAATAACCGCAGGAAATAAAACAGTAACTGCGAATAATGAATGGATCTTCTTTGTTGTTTATTTTTGTGCTCTTTTTTGTTAAACTATGACTAACAATGGGAAATAATGAAATTTAGAAAGACCATACAAAAACTATAAATGTTGTATACATGACCATAAAGAAGATAACGTCGGTATGAATGATATAACCGAAAATTCTGTAGGCACGTATGGGTACATTACACACGCATTCTTCGAAGAAAGAAAAAAAAGAAAAAGGTTGACGATTGAGTCAACATCTAGTTTTCCGGGATCTTTGTCTGCGCGCTTCCTTTGATTCCCAATTGGGGAACAAAAAAAAAGAGCCCTCGCTTCCAAAAAAATCAAACTTTAACGTGTTCTTGTTTATTGTTCGAACCTTTTGATCACAATGAAAAAAAAAGATTGAATTGATGGACGATAAATTTACGGGATAGAATCAATCTTTTGTTTTCGTTGTTAAAATATCTTCTTTATTTCACCCACTCACTTTGTCTTGATCGAGCAATCAGTCTCGTGAGTTATAGGAGACAATGTAGACAATGCGCGGATTCTGCGTAAAATTGGTAATTTAGCAGCATCATTTCATTTGTCTTCTTGCCGATTATGGGTAGCATCAAGTGGTAGTCGTAGTACCACATTTGTATCAAACATGAATATCAAACAAAAGTCACTTCACTTTGCATTGATCTATTTTTTCCTATCCTTGTGGTACCAAAAAACTAAAAATACGAATGACTACTCATACAAACATTGTCTTGTTTCAAGAGACGAAAATGTTCAGAGTGTAAATAGATTTGTGTTCGGATTCGCTGACATACAACGAGCGAATGCAAGCGAAATTCACGTCAAAAAAAGGAATCATAATGGCGAGTGCGAGTGAACGCGAACGGGAAGGAATTCTGAAACATCATTCTGGTTTCGTGATCTGTTGTGTGATCGAATCGTATCGAACGAAAATGTGAACGTGATTCCCCCCCCCCCCCCCAATTTAATTTTTGTATGGTGCCGATTCGATTCAACGCCATTATGCGGTGCTTTACACATAAGCAAGCATTATCTTTGGTAAAAAAATTCAGGGACGCATTAAATATTCGGGAGGCTGAATTTACTCTTAATTTAACGTTAATGCATTTAATATTAAGTGACGAAAAATGCCCTCGTGAAATCAATAAAGATGCAACAGAAAGAAACAAAGAATAAGCCTCGATACAAATTTAGCGAAGTAAGGCGAGGAGGAGCAGGCGGCTTAGTTCCTTTTATTGATCTGTTATGCAGGGTAAAACAAAGTTTAGTAGCGGTTCACGAGACGATATTCTCGCCTCTCCATGGACAATCTCTATTTTCGATATGTTTGGTTGCATGCTTTCGTATTCCGTTTACCCATTCGATTCTCTTTTTCACGCATGAAAAAAAGGTTTCACGACTCTTAATAGAGGATGTTTTGTTTGATTTTCACGGAAATTTATTTTGAGGTACGTAAATAGTCAAGCAGGCAGGGTCTTTTGACTTATTAGCTCTTTGCTTGTTCTGGAAAATCATGCGCTTCAATGAGATAAACGTCCAATGTCCCTAGTATACTCGGGAAAATTCAAAATTTGACGGTTATTGGATAATTGAGCGACTTCCATTTAAATAAATCGGCTAATCATTGTTTTTTAATTAAACCTTTAATTAATTAACTACGACCACAGCATCTGCCTAAAATCTTCACGTGCAAACAATTATTTCGCCTTCTCTCCCTTCTTGACATTTGAAATCCACGCGTCCCACATAACTGTAAAAACAAAGTTCAGGAGCTCCGTAACCGTGATAATAACGATACTATAAATATACGGGAAAAAATGTCGAAAATCTATGACTCATCATCTCTCTTCCCGCTATAGCACTAATAATAGCAAGACGGATTCACCAATGCATGGTTTAAACCATACATGTGATTACATTGCATTACATGATACTTAAATGAGCTTCCTTGGCGTCGATGCGAGTTATAACGATCTCGTGTCTAACCTCAAGACTTGGATTCAAAGTCACAATCCTATTTCTTTTCCTCTTAATACTACAATCTCTTGCCGATCCACGAAAGCTTATTCCTTTTTTTCTCTTCTTTCCGACTTTTGACCCCCTAAAATATAAGCATGCATATGCAACACATGCAAGATAAAAAACAAAACAAGAATTTTTGATTTATAATCTCTTACCAGATATAGTCGCCGTTAGTGGGGGTTAAGAATTTTAAAGTGGATCGGATTGGTTAAAAATTTTCGAATTTAACTTTAAATTTGCATATGTATAACATTTTTTATATTGTTATTATGTAGAAAAATGCATTGTATATTTTAAAATCAGCACTTTTTGATCAAACAAGCCGCCCACGCCACAGGCGGTCGTGTAAAAAAAAACAAGTTATTTATTTACTATTTTAATCCATTACCGCATATGCCACGATAAATAATCACACCAGAAACTATTCTTGATTTGTTTTTCTTCGGCTGCGGTTAATTTCTCCGCCTCAATCGTTATTAAATTGTTACACAATTGAGATAAATAATTCATTATTCATAACCTGTTTTTGTTTTTTAAGGAATTATGTACGTATTCATGCCTGATGTATGATAATCAAAAATCATCCAACTTGGCATAAGCCTATAAATAGTGTTATAATAGCGATAGTTATAAAAATAATACCTGATATGGTTGGAAAAAAATACATGAATGACATCATTATCTTGAATTTTTTCCTTTGGAAGGATTTACGATTGAATAAATAGATTTTGATTATTAAGCTTTTTGGGTGGCCTAAATTTGGTAATTTTATAAACGGAATTGACCGTTTTATTCTCATTACTAGGCGTTCACGGAAATCTGTTTTCTGACGTGACTTCCAAGATTTTATTCTCTTAATAAATCCTAGACCCAAGAGGGAACCATGATGGCATGTATTAAATGAGGCACTCACTACGCACGCAACAAATTGACGGCTCAATGGCACGCATTACTGGACTGAAGCCGCTTTTTCATTCTCGTCAAAATTTCTAAAATGAAACTTCACACGTGTACAACATCGCTATACAATCTGGCCGATATGAAAAATATATGCATATGTACTCTGTATTTATTATGCATGTGTTGGGTAATTTTTGACATTTTCGTTTTTGTACTCCGTGCAATAATATTTGACGTTATTGGTAGGGATGATATAATTTATATAATTTATTGTTTAACAAATTACATAAAGTTGTTGGATAAGCCGTCAGGTATTACAATAGAGTTGTTAGATTTACAGCATGGGCATGATTGTTATTCCACATTTTCTATCAATAACTCGAAAAAAAATCTTTATTATCGCCATCGATTGATTAGATTGGTCTTTTATCGTATGCAAGATATTAATAAATGATTATTAGTTGACAAAGAAATTGATGAAAATTTTTGTGGGCGTCTCCTGGAATTTTATATTTTTTATCGAACGAATAAAATAGAAATTTGTACATTGATCACGCGGCTCAGCATTGGGTGAAATTGCCCAGAATAAGGATATCGAATATATGATACGTTTTTGTTGGGGGCGTAACTGTGTTACAAGAATAACCAATTGGGAAATAGTGCTCTGGCAACCAATAGCAATAGGTAAATATTAGCATATGACTTAATTGGGGACGCACGGTAAAGGGGATAAAGGGAAAGATAATCAAAAATCCATATCGATATCGATTTAGATTTCAGTGCAAATGGGGTGAATTTTTACTCCAATTTAATTAATGTAAATTCAATAGATAGCGTAAATTTTAAGTTTGCAAGCAAATATTGAAGCACACCAGACAATAATAAAGGAGAAAACATGAATTGTACATGTATATTTTCATTCAATTCTGGCAAATTCTATAGTAAAGTATGAAATAATAAATAGGAAACGTAACCTTTAATTAAGTATGACAAACTTACATAATTAATAAGCCTTTTGATGGAAATTTCTTGAGGGAAATATTTAAAGTTACCTAGGGGCTCATAGTTTGAGACAAATCGAGACCGAATTGGGATTAACTTAAACGTTTTTGAGTAAAATTAAAAGCTAATTTGAGCGCTCATTAATTTTGTATTAATTTACAATTTAACTGCTTGATGCTTTAAACTCTTCGTGTAAAATTTCTCCGTGTTTAAGATGGCGCAAATTATTTCATAGAGTGAAGTTCTTCAAAAGAACTAGGAATGATATGCGACGTAGCATGGCAATCTTCACCTCCTGCATTCGTTTCGAAAATATCAAGTGTGGAGTGAAACCATTTTGTCAAATACTAACTTATAAACAATATATGCTGTGCAATAATAAAATGAAATTTACTTTTTATTACAGATTTAATTAAAATGGGTTCCATTTTATTTCTCATGTTGATTAAAATTGATTAATTAAAGACAAGATATGGTAATATGAAATCATTTACCTTTTTTCTTTTTTTCGCGGGTTTCTCATTAACTGAAGCAAATGCTTTCATTACAGACGTTCCAGATCGGTGAGGTTATTGTTCATCGCACATATCAAAGAAAATTTTCGTATTGTTTGATTTATTTTTTCATTATCTTGTGAGAATAGCGTGCGCGTGTCATGACACAATAAACTTTCTATGCTAGAGAAATTTCTTATGATGCGTCTTTTTTTTGAAGAATCTATAAAAACAATCATCAAGCTTTGCATTATTATCATTGTTATTGATATTATACACTGAATTCCTTTCTACGCATACAATTCTTTAGAATCTAATATTATTCGTTTATTAGGCATCATGCATTAGAAAAAAAATCGTTCGAAAATACCGGTATTTTTAATCGAAAAATTAAAAAAAATTTTGATGAAAAAAATCTTTATTTTATTAAACTTTGTTTTGAAGAATCACAAAAACGTTGATGAGGTATATTCAAAAAAAAAACCTCGGAACAATACGAAAAAGAAGAATGGGTCCCGAATTGCTACTTTATTTTTTTCGTCATGCCATTTCGATCGTAATACATTATAGATTGATGTCTTTAAAGAAAAATGTGCATCGGTTCAATGGTAGTTGGTCAATTTCTGCATATGTGTATGCATAGAATTGGCTCTAACTTGTTTATTTTATATTTGAGTTGCATGCATAGCATACATACGTAGCAAGTCGGCATACATCTTTCGAGTTAACTTTTAACCTTAAAATTTTAACTTAAAAGACTCATTATGTAATAACAAACAATGATTCTTCGATTGGCACAGCCTTGAACTATCTAAAAAAGTTGATGCCACGATTTTCAAAAGATAAATCCAAGCTAACTATTATGATCCAAATCTCTACGTAAGATTGTCTCCCGGTTTATAATTTTTTCAAATTTAATAAAAGATAGCTCTCTTTGATCAAAAAATAATATCATTTTGATCTTTATGAAACTAAACTAATAAGTTTCTTAACTAATTTGATTATTCATATATTTATATAAATGATAGTTCTAAAAAATAACTTTACTTCTAAAACAATATCGAATATGTTAAGTTCTTTTATACATTCACATTATGATATAATATAACAAAGAATGTCATTTTTTAATAATAAAGATTTTCAAATCTTCAAATCTATAAAAATTTTTTACATATTATATAATTAATATCTTTGTCAGATACAATAAATTGTAATAAAACAGAAATTTATAATTGATTCTTAAAAATTATGATTATAAAGCAAGTTTATAAGATAATTATAAAAAGAATAATTATAAAAGAGTTTAATTATATTTAATTTCAAATTTCGATTACTTTAATTATATTAATTTTTTTATTATATGATTATCTCTTAAAAAATTATTTTTATATAATAATAATTTTTTATAAGATATTTTTTATAAATTTTTAAAACTAATTATCAAAAATAAGATTATTAGTACTTTGTTACATCAAATTCTTTTATTAAATTAAAGAATTATAAATATAAAACCAAAGTCTTAATTAATTAATGTCTCAATTCTCAGATCTATTAATTTAATATAAAATTCTATTGATTAATGAAATTTTAAAATTCTATCTTTATATCAAGTTAATGATTTATAATTGATTAATTAAGACTTTCTATATTATATAAGCAATTTAATTAAATTATATAAAAATAAAAATATTTATCAATTAGAGAAAATTTTGCATTTTATTATTTTAATAAATTTTAATCTTAATGCAATCTTTAATAAATTTTCTTTAATATTTAAAAAATATAATTATTTAAGATGATTTAATAAGTCAATTTATAAATTGATTTTATTTATTATATTAAAGATATTATTAAAATTTGATTTATTTATTAAATATTATATTATTTTCTTATTAAAAAATTATTTTTTGCATTTTTTAAAAAGTAATTTTACAATTTAATATTTTTATTGAACTTTGCATATAATAAAGAAACTAAAATGTATGGTGTATCAAATGGCTAGAGAAAAATTTTAATCAAAAAAACAAAATGACATGAACAGTCAAAGTCGATACAACGGACACTTATAGCGGATTGAGGTCCAAAACAGTCTAATAAATCGTCGATAATATAGCGATTCATTAATAAACCGTTGATAAAACGAATTTTTGAAATTTTTTTAGCAATGAACGTTATATCGACATTGACTGTATAGATGCTATAATAAATGAAGTGAGAACTTATATTGATATAGGGATTCTTTTATATGTCATACTATCTGGTCTACAATATGTCATAATAATGAGATCAAAAAAAGGTCGTCGTCAATTAACGTAACGGGTGTCATGAGAATAGTAAGCATTTTTAATATTTTTAAATATTCCAATAAACATCGTGAAAAGGTTCTCCTTAATTACCCAGTCACGTACATGAAAAAGGTCATAAGATAAGCATGGTGATGTTTTCATAATAAAAATAAATTTCCTTACTATCTATATAAAGTTAAAGATTAAAACAATCGATTATCATAAATATCCTCGATATTTAATTCTTGCCATTACGATTTATTGACTAAACAAATTTTCAGAGAAAAATCTCTTAATTAATAATATCAAACAATAATAATGGCTTCACGAGCCTTGCTTTTAATTTCTTCATTCATCGGAGCAATATTGATCGCGTCGATAAGCGGAACACAATATCTATTCGCCTCTTACGGACCAGCATTAGCGCATCGGTTAAAATTTTCTTCGGTGCAAACTAATACGGTCGCTAGCGCTGCAAATTACGGTTGTTACTTGTCAACTCCACTTTTTGGTCATATTTCGGACAAGTATGGTCCTAAAACGTAAGTGTAGATAAATTTGGAATTAACTTTAGAATTGAATAAACTCGAATTGTATTTGGATTGAATCGAGTCTAATCAAATTGAAAAAAAAATAGATCCACATTATTCGCCTCGGTGACGTTATTTTTCAGTTTCCTTGGTTTGGCATTAACCTATCATGGCAGTCTACCGCCACTTTTTTCACTTTGTGCAATCTATCTTTTCTTTACGGGAATGGCTTCAGCAGCAGGTAAACATATATTTTAATTCAATTTATAAATCTAATCCTAATCTCAATTCGAATTCACATATTTTATATAGGATTTATGGCAGTGTTAACAACTCAAGCAAAGAATTTCCCAAAGATTCGAGGTATAGCACTCGGAATTCCATTAGCCTTATTTGGACTTTCAGCATTTATATTCTCAACAATTGAAACTTTGTTTTTCGGTGATCACACATATAAATTTCTTATATTTCTGGCGATAAGTACAAGTGTATGTAATCTTATTGGAAGTGCTGCATTGAACGTAGTCCCACAACCGGTAACTCGATCATCAAATGAAACTCCAGAAGCACCACCTAATACAAATGTACAGCAAACAGAATCGATAGACACGGAACAAACACCATTACTATCCAGAGATACAAAAAGGCAAAAAAACAATGATGGTGATGATGATAAAGATGAATTAGACATTAGCGGCTGGGATTTATTCCGTAATGACGACGCACAAAATTTATTTTTTATTCTATTACTCACAGGTGGTGTTGGATTGATGTACATCAATAATGTCGGTTCAATACTGAAAAGTTTATTCGACACGACTTCAATGGTAGATGATCATGAAAAGCTATTAACTTATCAGAATTTCCACGTCTCTCTGATCTCAGTATTCTCATGTATCGGTCGTATATCTTCAGGATTTACTTCGGATCTCTTCAAACAAACATTTAATTTGCGACGAATATGGTTTTTGCTATCGGCGTCAATTTTACTTTTAAGTGGGCAAATTATCGTCGGGTTTTTCGTGACGCATTTGGAGACATTGTGGATTGGGAGTATGTTTATTGGATTGGGTTTCGGCAATTTATTTGGAATTGCACCCACTATTGCTAGTGAATGGTTTGGGTTGAGTAGATTTGGTTTAAATTGGTGAGAATAAAATTTTAGCTTGTTTTAGCTTTTTACTTATTCCTGTTCCTAATTTTGCAATAATATGTATTTTTATTTTTATTTTTATACTCCAGGGGATTTTTATCTTATGTAAGTACCTTCATTCCTTTCAGATTCATTATTTCAAATAAAGAAATACTAATTTAATAATATGTTCTTATTAAAGTCCATCGCAATTGGCGGTCAATTTTACAGTCTCATATTCGGATTCAATCGGGATTGGCAACACCATAAATGTTCAGGCGTAAATTGCTATACTCATGTTTTCTGGCTCACTTCTACCACTTGTCTATTGAGTGTATTGTTGATAATAAGACTCTTATGGAATCGATATCGACGACGAAATGAACAGACAAAATTGTCATCCTCATCATCGAGGTCAAGCTAACTTATTTGCTATTTTTATATATAGATCAATTTTTAATTGATACTTAATGCGCTATAATATCCAATTTTTTTAATTTATCTTTAAATGGTTTTCTTTCTAAGAAGAGTCTATAGTTTATCAACAACAGAATAGATAACCAAAAGATCTATGCGTACGTTACAGAGAAATAATTGTCATGTACGATAGCCATAGAGATTTTAGAAATAAAACGCATGCAATTTTGAAAGTATTCATACTCTCAGTACATGGCGTCATTACATTTGTTTTGTGTGCGGGTAATACCAAAAAATTCTGATTTTTTGACATTTATTTCTCTATCGTGACTTTTAGAAATTTTTGTTACATATAATATTCTAGTTATTACATCGATTGTTTCTTGTTGTCAAAGTAATTGTTTCTGGCTCTTCTGATTCGTTATCACAGTCTATTAAGAATTTTTCTATTTGTCTAATCGTTTCTTGTTCGATCTGTCTGCAGCATTTTGGGTCGCAGTCATTGAAGTAACATAAATTTCTTCAATTTCATAACTTATGAATTTGGCCGATCGAATTCTACTTGGAGACCTGAAGAATATAATGTATCAATTATAATAATAATTCTATATTGAGAATATATAAATATTATTATTCACAATATTATTCTGAATGCTATTCTTCATTGATCATTCATTGATCATTTGATTTACTTGTTTTCATTAATTAGTGTTGGATTGATCAAAAAAGTTGTGCTTTTTTATTGGTTAAGTGCTGTTAGCCAATCAGCGATGAGATTTATGTACGATGATTTTTTGTGTCCTTTTATGGAAACTTGTGATATTATGTGCTCGATTAAAATACATCATATAAAGAAAAGCTACTAGATATAGATAACCAAATATAAGAAAGAATCAAGTTCTCTATAAAATTATGATATAAACTTAATCTCCATTTGGGGAGGTCTGACTGTAAATCACAAAAATTTTGATCACAATCAGAACTGGGCTAACCCAATAACGATTAAGAACAAATGCAAAAAATAGCAAAGGATCTCCTTAGTCACAAGGGACGTCATAAGATGGTCGGTTTAAATCTAATAGATGTTTGGTATTGTCAGTTAAATATTGAACATGTGTAGCATGGCACCTAACCAAAACGAAAAGAACCAATAAGAACGTGCAAATTTTGGATCAACTCGACGAGAGCGAACGATAAAATGAAAAACGAATAGTAAAATCTATCTTGGAGACTAATCAAAAAATCTCAGGAAGGCAATTTTACACATAATCTCTAATCTACCTTAATCCCAATACTAAAAAATCACTATCGAAAGATTTTTTCCCTGATTTACTAAATATATTTGGGTTCTATGTTTTGATATGACATATTGGCAGAGATGTAAACATCTTATCAATCAAAATAAATAAATTAATGTACTCCGCAAAAATAAATTTCCGATTATCTATATAAAGCTAAGGCTTAAAACAATCGAATATTATAAATTTCTCGATATTTTTTTGATTATTACCGTTCTATTATCTATTTTATTGAATAATATCAAACAATAATATAATGGCATCACGATTTTTACTTCTAATTTCTTCATTCATCGGAGCAATATTGATCGCGTCAATAAGCGGAACACAATATCTATTCGCCTCTTACGGACCAGCATTAGCGCATCGGTTAAAATTTTCTTCGGTGCAAATTAATACGATTGCTAGTGCTGCAAATTACGGTTGTTACTTGTCGAATCCACTTTTCGGTCATATTTCGGACAAGTATGGTCCTAAAGTGTAAGTGTAGATATTTGGAATTAGTCATGATTAATTCTAGAAATGAACAGATTCGAATTTTATTTGATTGAATCGAAGCTAACCAAATTATTATCGATTGGAAAAAATAGGTCCACATTATTCGCCTCGGTGACGTTATTTTTCAGTTTCCTTGGTTTGGCATTAACCTATCATGGCAGTCTACCGCCACTTTTTTCACTTTGTGCAATCTATCTTTTCTTTACGGGAATGGCTTCAGCAGCAGGTAAACATATATTTTAATTCAATTTATAAATCTAATCCTAATCTCAATTCGAATTCACATATTTTATATAGGATTTATGGCAGTGTTAACAACTCAAGCAAAGAATTTCCCAAAGATTCGAGGTATAGCACTCGGAATTCCATTAGCCTTATTTGGACTTTCAGCATTTATATTCTCAACAATTGAAACTTTGTTTTTCGGTGATCACACATATAAATTTCTTATATTTCTGGCGATAAGTACAAGTGTATGTAATCTTATTGGAAGTGCTGCATTGAACGTAGTCCCACAACCGGTAACTCGATCATCAAATGAAACTCCAGAAGCACCACCTAATACAAATGTACAGCAAACAGAATCGATAGACACGGAACAAACACCATTACTATCCAGAGATACAAAAAGGCAAAAAAACAATGATGGTGATGATGATAAAGATGAATTAGACATTAGCGGCTGGGATTTATTCCGTAATGACGACGCACAAAATTTATTTTTTATTCTATTACTCACAGGTGGTGTTGGATTGATGTACATCAATAATGTCGGTTCAATACTGAAAAGTTTATTCGACACGACTTCAATGGTAGATGATCATGAAAAGCTATTAACTTATCAGAATTTCCACGTCTCTCTGATCTCAGTATTCTCATGTATCGGTCGTATATCTTCAGGATTTACTTCGGATCTCTTCAAACAAACATTTAATTTGCGACGAATATGGTTTTTGTTATCGGCGTCGATTTTACTTTTAAGTGGGCAAATTATCGTCGGGTTTTTCATTACGCATTTGGAAACATTGTGGATTGGGAGTATGATTGTTGGATTGGGTTTCGGCAATTTATTAGGAATTGCACCCACTATTGCTAGTGAATGGTTTGGGTTGAGAAGATTTGGTTTAAATTGGTGAGTAGAAAATTTTTTAGTTTGTTTTTACTTGTTATTTTTTAATAACATGTATTTTTCTTTTTAATTTCCAGGGGATTTTTATCATATGTAAGTACTCTCATTCCTTCTTTCAGATCCACTATTGAAGGAATACTAATTTAATAATATGTCCTTATTAAAGTCCGTTGCAATCGGCGGTCAATTATACAGTCTCGTATTCGGATTCCATCGGGATTGGATACGCCATAAATGTTCAGGCGTAAATTGCTATACTCATGTTTTCTGGTTCACTTCTACCACTTGTCTATTGAGTGTCTCGTTGATAATAAGACTTTTTTGGAATCGGTATCAACGACGAAATGAACAGGCAGCATTATTATTCTCATCACCGTCAAGCTAACTTATTTGAGTAATTAATCTTTATAGAAACCAATTTTGGTTAATATTCAGATGTTTTAATAATATCTAATATTATGTTTAATTAATTTTCTTTCCTCAAGAGTATATATAGCTTTTATACTTTGAATAACTATAATTTGTATTATAAAGAATTAAAAATTGCTGGGGCTGATACTGAAATCTGGAAATTAGTACATCCATTGGCTGATCTATTTTTATTCTCTAACTTCATTGGTCAATTTCAGTTTCAGCCGTCACATTAAATAATGTTGATTAGTTTTTATATAGATTTTTAAAAATAGACTTAGTAGTGTTTTTATTTTGTTATAGACTAATTTGTTTATTAGATCAGAATATCGTGAACATTTAATATATAAAAAATATAAAATAAAAAATTATGTATTAAATCAAAAATTTATCTTATCCAAATTGGTATTATTTTGCTCTATTTTTATCTAAATTGAACCTATCATATATTTTAATAAACTAAGGGAACTGTTATTCGCATCATACTATTGAGTCACGTGATATGAAATTTCCAGTAATTCCATGCATGGCCTCTTTAGGGCTCAATATCTCGAGACCCAGTGGCAGGAATCGAGTGTAAAGCCCATCATTAGATTCATCAGAACCTAGGGAATCGATTGGCATGCTTATACTCGATTCTCATCACTCCAAACGTCCACCGGGACCCAAACGCTATGACACAGGAGACCGAAGTCTCAATATCGTCACGTTCTAGCATGGATTCTGATTTAGAGACGTTCAGCCATAATCCAGCGGATGGTAGCTTCACGCCATTGTCCTTTCGGGCAGGCGTGGGTCTCAAGATATTGAGTTACAAAGAGACCATACGTAAATCGTTCACCTAAAATAAATCAAAATTCCATGTATGGCCTATTTAGAGCTCAATATCTTAAGGACTGGTGGTGGGAATTGAGTGTAAGGCATACCATTCGATTCTCTAGGTTCTGGTGGATTGAATGGTGGGCTTTACACTCGATTCCCGTCACTGGGTCTCGAGATATTGAGCTTCAAAGAGGATTTATTTTATAATAATAAAAAATATTAATTAATAATTATAAACTGAGAATATGTATATATAGATTTTGAGTTCATAATTATAATAATTACAGAATAAAATTTCATAAAAATAATTTTCATTTTATTGATTAAAACGTTTTGATTTATATATAATATGCATTAAAATTACGCCCAACGTGGGGGTCGAACCCACAACCTTGAGATTAAGAGTCTCACGCTCTACCGATTGAGCTAGCCGGGCTATGTTGATGGTACTTTTTGCATTTTTATAAACTTTAACTAGATTTAAAAATCAAATATACATTAACAACCGCAATGTTTAATTTGAATAGGGATTAATTCTTATAAATGATTGGGTATTTTAACTTTTACGTTATTACAATTTATAAAATACAACCATTTTTGATTTAAGATGAATTGCACCATTGGACAATTGTACAAAGCATCGAATTCGCATATTATTTAATCAAATTTATTTATTGTATTGAATAATATTTATATCTTTTTAACTACAGAATTTAACCTACAAAGTATATAGTTTAATAAAATAGCATACATATACCTACATACAAATCATTTAAGCATCATCATGATCTCGCCCTCTTGGAGGTGTAACATCATAAGCAGTAGACGATGATTTACCCTTTTTCAGTATACCCTTAGGCTTAGGAATAGAAGCAGCAGGAATTCTCTCTTTCTTTTCAACAGGTTTCTCAACCTCTGGTTCACCTCCACCTCCATCTTCTAGCCATTTAGCATATTTCTCTAAACGAGCTGCTTCCTCCTCTTCAGTCTCGTTTGCTCGGGATGTAGTCTTTTTGAATTTTTGCTTTCCGTCATATATTTCAGCTTCGATACGACGTCCACTGAAAAATCGTCCGTTATTTTTCTATGAATATTACGAGATTAGTAAGCTAATTTAAGATCTCGAAACATACTTTATATAAATAATATAGGAAAGAAGATAAGCTACCAGGACACAAGCCTCAGCGCTGATTTTCTCTTTGAATTTAATTACTACAATACCATCAGGTTCTTGCTATAAAATAAAAAAAGCATATTTTCAGTTGGAATTCGAATTAAATGAAAACCTATTGATAAATCATCTG